CCAATCAGATGGCAGAACGACTGCGACCGTTTGGAACTAGTCTTGTAAGACAATGTCCCCAGGGGCTCTTCTGCCCTTAACTTGAAATCGACTCACAGCCCCTGGGTCTCCGAGGATGGGTCGAGATTGGCTAACGTCAGATACCTGTAGAATCATTTCAGGGAAGGGTTCCTCCACCGGGAGTGAATTTAGCCCTGATGATGATGATGATGAAACGCAATCTTTTAATAGTTAGTATCTTACCATTGTTGTCTTTCTTTGTGGCACATATGATACTTGAGATTCGAGGAAGCACTGGTTTGATCAGATGTCCCTGAAAGAAAGGTTGTGGGTAAAATAATATAGGATGCAAATTTTTTATATCTCGGCAACATAGCACACATCAGTCTTATACATTTATATATATACATGTACCGATTTTGATTTAAGGCCACCTGTTCATCATGGTTCTTTTGAAGTCCAAGAATACATGATGGTCATTAATGATCCTCCACAAACCCCAGCAAGATTCAATAGTTACAGAAAGAAGAATTGTTCATATTCATGACTTTTAGATAATTGGGAGAAATTAATTTTCCTCTCCTGAATCTTAGACCTTATTCTCACACATTAATCTTATTAATCTTTCCTCTTATTTTATCTATATAGTGCCTGGTCCATAGGAAGATGCTCCCAAGCGCTTTACAATAATGGAAAAAGTTATTAACGAATAAAATCAATCCATGGAGTGAAGAGAACTAATTACTATTAAATATCTACAATAATAATGATAATATCACGCATAATTCTAAATTCACAAGTTTAGTCAATTCTGGTCATATAAAATGAGAATTACATACAACAGTCAGTAACTTTAAGTAGATTAAAACTATAACTATAACTTATGGTAATTCAAATGCTAATTTGAAGAAAAATGTCTTAAGCAGTCTTTTAAAAGATGACAGGCTTTCAGCATGGCGGATTTTGTGGAGAAGGCAGTTCCAGAGTATGGGTGCGGCATATTCAAAGCTGCGATCACCAAGAGTACAGAGTGATTTAGATCTAGGATATTGTAGAAGAAGGTCACCACTTGACCCAAGGTTGTATTTGGATGATTCTTTCAGTATAATAAGTTGGCATAGACAAGTTGGAGCTAGTTTATGAATACATTTAAAAATGATCAGCAGAATTTTGAACTCAACACGATATTTTATCGGTAGCCAGTGAAGACATTGTAACAATGGTGCAATGTGGTCAAAATGGCCGATTCTACAGACAAGTCTTGCAGCAGTGCTCTGTACAGGTTGCAATTTTTGTAGCTCACAGGCAGGTAAACCATAAATAGTACTATTACAGTAGTTGAGGAGGCTTGTGATGAAGGCATTGACTAAGGTCTTAGTGTTCTCAAAATCCAGGAATTTCAACAAGTCATTTCTTCTTACATTTCAACACACCATTCAAACATGTAATGAGCTTAGACAAACTTGTCAAATAGGGGTGTAATTTTGATGTTAATGTAATATCAAATTCTTAAACTCTCTGACTCTCCACACCTAATTGTAAATTCTCCCCTCTGGTTGCTAGACATTTCCCTATTAATATGTCATGAAAATTTGCTGTTACACCAAGATAAAAACTTCTACCTGATAAGTTTGGGTATTCTCATTACCTGTTTTCTGGATTACCAGTATGTATACTTTGGGAGAAATTACATGTTAAGCACTTCTCCAAGTTAAAGGTTTAAAAGAAATGGTTTTGAATCTAGAAAGGAGAATTGTTTAAAAGGAAAATTGTAAATTAGACCTTAAGTCAAGAAAGAGAGTACTTAACTAAAGTCAGAGAACACACACATTTGCTAACAGGAATAACAAAATACCAGTTTATTTTTGTTTGGAGAAGACTGAATTCCCATCATGAAGTTTTTTTTTATCATACCTGCTTTTCCTCAAGTGTTTCCATTAAAAGAACATAATCCTGCCACACTCTCATGAGAGAGTCTTTCTTACTGCAAGACCAGCAGAATATCTGCATTCCTTTCTCACCTTGCACCAGTAAATCCTGCGGTTGTTTATCCAGCAGGTCTAAGGTTCTCTTCAACAGATACATGGCTCTTTTCCTAGAAAGAGGTTCCTCTAACACCAGCCCTTTCTGAATGATTTCCCAAAACTTGGCTTTGTGAAAGAGACTGTTGTTGCCATTAGTGTAGAAGAAATCAGCAAGACCACATAGAATGGCATAGGTCTGATTGAATGTTCCAGGAATAGAACCAGCCACTTGGGATTCAAATATCTGTTTCACCATACTCCACACAGCCTGTCAAGGTTCAGCAACAACACCATTATCGTATATTAACTTGATAAGTGCCCCTTGCTAGGAAGGCTTGAAGTTTTGGGGTAACAATCAACACTTTAACTTTGAAATCTCTATCAGGAGAAATGGCTTGATTCTTATAGCTGATCAAACTCTTGAGAAAACATTATTTTGCACAAATATGACTTGAAAATTTAAGTTCAACCTTATCAAAGGTGGTAGTCATGTAAGCAAGCATAGAAGAAATTGAAGCATAAGAATACCTCTTAACCCTTGACACCCTAATATCAGCATGTTCATTCTCCATACTGTTCTTTGTGCAGTTCCTATGACACTGACAAAGAGAATTTAGTGAAAATCAAGAGCTTTTGAAGTTTGCCTTGAGCCTATGATATTTGATTCAGCCATGAAACCTCAGTGAGACATAAGTTATTAAGGGCCATTTGAGTGTTAAATTTTTCTTGTAATGTAGAATTAATTTCGAACCATCCCAGAAGGAACCTTGTGAAAAGAATAATGTTTATATTTTAACGGTGGCCTGTGACTCACCTCGCAACGTGATTCTCTATTGAATTCCAAGAAATTCGGAAGAACAAGACTGGTTGCTTTCCCACACAAGCTTTCAGTTGCGAAAGGTAAAACATTTAACAACTCCTGAAAGAGCGTATTTCCCAGTTCTCCAGAAATTATACGAGTTCTTTTTGAAGGGTTTAAGGCAGCTGGCTTCACAAGATTTCCAATAAGATCAAGTGTTACCGAGACTTCAACTGCGTTTTCATCTGTTGAACCCAATTCCACGACGTAGCGCTTTAAAATGTGAAGGCACTTTTCGCTCACTGATGGAAGCAAAGTTTCCGGAAATATTGAACAGCAAAAGGCTATAATATCGTAACAAAGATGAAGCCTTTTTCGCCTGTGCACAGAGGGCTGATTGGTGTCCACAGATTTGTAAACGATCGGCCAACAGATCTCAAAGAGGACCTTGGCAGCCACATCTTCACCAAAATCTTTGGATTTTTCAAGGGTATCTAACACTAATTTTAACGATTCTAAGAAATTTGTATCGAGTATAACATCTTTCCGTTCTATGAAGTGTTTCAGAACGGGCAAGATTTGAGAATGATCGGAATTTGCACAAATGAATTGAAATAAGTCAGCCATTTTGCTACACGAGGTCGACGAAAAGTACCAGGCGTAATAAATTGTAGAGAGGTAAATTCAGCCCCTACCTCACTCGCCCAAAGTCAGTTATTCATCCTTGGTCGAGCTTACCTAAGAGGACTACAGTGGGGAAGTTACTAGGTTTGACATTTCATTGGCTGATTACACACAGCCAATCAAGACGATTGTAAGTAAGTTTAGATTTCCGCGCGATCATACAGATACCATCAGAATATTCTTTCGATCAGGAGTCACCAATCTGTGATTAGCGGGACTATATTCTTCGAAAACGGGTAGAGTTTGCTTGTTCATCCGCCTCAAAATGGGTCAGTTCATGTCTACTGCCCTTACAGCGCTAGGTTATTCGTACCCCTGTGGCAATGACAATGTATTGTACTTCAAAAAGATGAGCGATCGGGCAACAACTCCAAGCCGAGGGTCAGAGTTAGCGGCGGGATACGATTTGTACAGTGCGGAGAATGTAATCATTCCGAAACAAGGGAAGGCTTTAGTAAAAACAGATATCGCCATAGCACTACCAGAAGGATGTTATGGACGAGTTGCACCGAGGTAAGAAGGGAAATTACAATTTGTACACGCCAAAATCGAAATGATAGCCTCAAGAATGATGCAGTGCGTACGTAACCTCGTGTCACCAGAGAATTTACTATTGTACACATTTTTCCAGAATTTCCAGCTAGTGCAGCCAAGAAATTGAGCATAGTGTCCTTGCTAAGAATCTGCTTTATTATTCTCACGGCCAGACTTGGAAATTTCCCAATATTTTTGGAATATCGAAAGAATGTACGTGGTGTTTCACTTTGGCGGGAAATTTCCCGTATCCTGGAGCCCCGGGTGACTTTCATTTTTATTTTGGTACGATAACTGTGATGAAGACAAATAAAGCTAGATTGGAGCTTGCTCAATTTTTTGTAGTCCATGAATTTAGTAAAAACTGTAAAGATTTTTACCGATTAGTAATCTCATGTCACGAGAGAATGAACTATTGTACGTATTTTTCCTAAAGTTCCAGCTCACGCATCCGAATTAATTAATTGGAGCCGATCGAGTTTCCTTGCTAAAGATTTATTTCATTATTCACACTGCTAGATCTGAAAATTTCCCAGATGGTAGGAATATTGAAAGAATGAAATAATTTGGAAATATCAACAAAGTTGAAATGGTAAATTAGCCACCGTAATGATTACAAAAGCTGACGTTTCGAGCGTTAGCCCTTCGTCAGAGCGAAGAATGTAGTGTTTTGCTTTGGCGGGAAATGTCCCACTACAATTGTTTCCTCGGTTCAGGTTCCCTTTCAATTTCAGTGCAATGCAATAACTTTGATGAATACAACTGAAGCTAAAACGGGGCTTCTTTTGTTTGTGAAGGTTAACAAAGCTAGCAAAAACTAGCTGTTAAGAGTTTTTTTTCCGAATTGAACCATTCATGAATTGAAATGGAGGGAAAATGAAGCTTAGATTTTAAAAATGCACATGATGTTGTTAACAGAGATTATTTATTTTTCTCATTTATATCTGACATCGTAGAAGCTCTGGCATGTGATGTTTTTTTTGTAATAAAATAAGATAAATTTATGGTACAAAATAGATCAGGCTGCCTGGATTAGTTATCTGTGGTTTATAATTTCTGTGGAAGAGTCGAAAAAAAAAATTACCCATCACCAATAACCATATGGAATTGTCAATTTAGACTCTTTTTTGAAATTAATATTTTGGAGTTTTTTTTTTTAAGTTGCTGACTTGTTAGTGGCCAAGCAAACAGACACTTTTGCAGTGTTAGCTGCAAATGTGTCAACCTGTGTTCAGCACCTGTGTGGCAAATTGTAACCTTTTTCTTACCTCATGGTGTTTGTAATAATATAATAATTTATTTCTTGTAGATGACATGGAAAGTTGTCTTCTAATCTTTGGAGCAATGAGGCTCGTGTAAAAAATGTCTGACTTGCTTGTGTTTCTGTTGATAGAACTGAGTTATGTCTGTGTATGTCACAAATTCGCAATTTTAATTATTAACATCCATTTAAAACCACTGTTTTGCAAAGATAAGGAGATGCATGTCATCTGGAACCTGTTCAAAATGCATATTTGCCATCATACTACAACAGTTGTGGTTAGGTTTTGACAGGTATTCTAGAATTCAAGTCTGATCCCAAAATATAAAGGCCTGAAGGTTAAAATCTTTCTACCTGGGTCTTAACATGGCTCTTCAAACTTCATAAAACTTTTGGCATTTTACAGCAGTGACACCATGGTTTCCCATGTGAGCCTGCAAAAGTCAGTGATGTAGGAAAACATTGTTTTTAATCTCTTTTGTTTCTAGCAGAAAGTTAGGGTAAGAGGAGCATTTACAAATATATTAAAATTCAACCTTGGTCTTTCATGGTATCAGCATTACCCAGAAACATCACTTTTCAATCTGTTTTTCCAAAATCTGGTCTGAAAGGAATAGGCAGGTCAAATATCCTGTATGAATGTATTTTTTTTTTTATGATAATTTGATGAGTGACTGATTGATCCTGTAATTTCATGTGAATTTTAGATTCTGTGGATCTCTAATTTATAACAATAGTATTTGATATTTTAATTCATTACAAGTAGAATGTGCCTGAAGCAGATGGAAACACCTTGGTTTGTTTGTCAAGGAGTTTCACCAAACTGTACACCCTGCAATGTCATGAATTAAGCATTTATTGATTTTTAGATCCAGTCTTTCCTGGAAACATCACATCGATGTTGGAGCAGGTGTTGTAGACCGTGATTATCGTGGAAACGTTGGTGTTGTACTTTTCAATTTATCACAGCAGGATTATAAAGTTCAGCAAGGTGATCGTATTGCTCAGCTTATTGTTGAGCGAATAAGCATCCCACCACTTGTGGAAGTTGAGGTAATCAAAAGAAAAGCTCTTTAAATGTTTTAGTTCTTAGTAGAATTAAAACAGAAGTGTTTACTTTCCACTGAGTTGATTGTTGATCTTAAAACTATGAAATTCTGGAGTGCTATCGCAAAGATTAGATATTTTCTGTGTTTTTTTGTGGTTTTCTTTCAAGTAGACTTTGGTCATGCGAGCCCTCTACAAGAAATTGAAAGTGTTTCTTTACTGTATACATTGAAAAAAAAAATAGCATTTATTTTTTTCAAATGCATTATTCATAAAACTGCCAGGATGAATCATCAAGTGTGGTTGAATGGCTTGTCTTCCAGATTATGCAAAAATGTTTAGCAGCATGGATTTAGTTAAAAAATGAACAGTATCTCAAACATCCAGGAACATCCCATTTTTTACATCACTATGAATTTTCTTTTATATTTACTTTTGTTTTGTTTACTTTTTATTACATTTTTTACTTTCGTTTCGTTTGTTTCTTTTTTTAACAGGAACTTGACGACACAGCTCGTGGTACAGCAGGCTATGGATCTACAGGAAAATGAAAAGGGATCAATTTTAAAGTTTTGATCATTATGTTCCTTGTAAATAACATTTGTTGTGTTTTCACCTCTTGATTGCGCTAAAAATCCCTAACTGAAGCAGCCATCATTTGGCCTGGTTTTCCTCCATTTCTGTTAGTTAGCAATAATTTAAGCCATATGTAATTAAGTTCACAGCCATTTCTTGCAATTTGTACAGTTGTCTTTTTTGTCTCCTTAAACCTTTCACTTCTAGTAATCAATGAATTAAAGTCTCTTCACAAATTTTACTTGTTGTCTGGTGAAAAAGCTGATTAGAATAAACAACCTCATTGGCAATTAGGTTCTCTTATTGCATAGCTACCTAAAGAGATGGTACGATCAGTCATTCCTTGGAAGGAATTTTATTAACAACCCCGCATACTGTTCTTAGTCTTGAAGCTTTCCCCCAGAAAATTGGAAAAAGGCCAAGGAGTGAGGTTGCCATTCAGAAAGAAGTTTTGCTTTAAGCCTTACGAGTTAATTCTTGTCAACCTTTGATACGTATCTTTGAATAAGGGTTCATTCGCTCTACCATTATTATTTCCACAATGATCATTATCTACGAAAATATGGAAACTAGATTTCGTTGATTCACTGTCAAAAATCCTGAGTCTTGATATTTTGTATTGTCTCCTTGACTCGATCTCTGCTAAGGTTAGTCGTCTTTGTCAGAACCCTCCAGCCTTTAAATCAAAAATACAAAGGTAAGTCGTCATCTTGAAGATCGGATTTTCCGCTGACACAAACCACTGCTGGCCTTTTCATCAGTCGACCTCTTTCCAGGTCACACCAAGGTTAGTAGAGGGGACTAACCATGGTCACACAAGGAAACACTATCTAGTTCTAAAGGCGCGTTGTCTTGGGTGAAACTCAAGATTGTAGAATTTTGATTTAATTGTAAAATCACAGAATATTTAAATTACAAATTCTCATACATTAAGTCACCTTATACAGTGTATGATCATCTAGTTTAATGATGTTAGCTTGCCACACCAAAGTATATCTCAGCCTGCGCAATTTCTAGATCTAGTTCCAAAGTTGAAAGTTTGTGGGGCACATACCCCACCTGCCCGTCCTTTAGAGCCTCCCCTGATTAAATCTGAGAGATACTGTTCGAACTGAGTTCAGAAATTGTCTTGTTATCGATCAATGAATTTGCTTCCCGGCCTAAGGAACCTCTTACGGAAAATCCACAGTTGAATTTTGCCATTTATCATGCAACATAAGCACGCATGAACAGAACATAAAAGACCCGGTATTTCTCATTGGCAGATCTTCAGATTGTTTTTGGCAGCTTCTCATCGCAGTTCACATGATGTGATCTTGGCCAATGAAAAGGATAAATTAATTTGTGCGGCGGAGACTTCCAGCGGAAATAGAGGTTTCACTGAAAGACGTACCCACCATTGCAATATTTCGATCAGTGAATCCAGCTAGACTACGAGCAGCCCTTCCTTTTTTGAGAAGTTCGTCGCGCGAATTAAAAACAAACATCAGTAAAAAATAAAATTGATGTTGGCGCGACGCGCAGAACTCTAGGCGTCGGCGCACCATCATGAAGTCAGTTTTTCACAGATTTTTTTTTATTCAAGCGGTGGACTTCGCCGAAAAGGAGGGACTGACCGTAGTCTAGAGTCAAGCTTGACTTTCATTTCTAATTGAGTATAATAACTATTTTTTTTATATTCGTTCTGACCAAACACTCAGCAACCCTCGGCTCTACTTCATCTCACATGATCACAACTTTGGAATCAAACTCACAACTAGAAATTGATTTCCGGCAATGCACCTCTTCTTTAATTAATTTTTTTTTGCATGTTTTGTTCTTTATGTTCAAGTCTCCATGGTTTTCTTGCTGTTTATGTCAAGTGTGCAACAGCTGAACTCTTATTTACGAGACCGTGGTCATAAGTAGAGAAACAGTCACATTTGCCATAAATCGCGCAAAATTCAGAAAAAAAGTTTCGTTTGCTGGATATCACTTATCGTTTTTACATTATCATTTTCACAAAATTCAGCCTTATAGTAACCGAAGTATTATAACAAGACAAACCAAAGCGAACTTGAAAACTCAAGATCAGCAGGTTTCTAGGAACGCCCTATTTTTTTTCTGTAGGATATGGCAAATTTTCGCGCAGCGTTAGATTTAAAATTGACGTTTTAGCTGTAGCCAGGTGTGATGTTTATTTTAGGTGTTTAGGTCTCCGATCCATCCATCGATCCATCTTAAATTCTCTACTGCACCAAAGCATACCTTGCAGCATTAATGTTCGGCACACGTAGACTCCTTACACTGTCTTTCAAATAAATTCCTCGTTTCCTTTTCAGCCAGAAAATGGATAAAACTCACCCAAAGCTGCAACTAGTAGATTGATTGAAACTGGAGCTGTCATTCAAGTCGCTTACATAGCCATGCGACCTTCATTGACGGACGTTATAGATCGTACTCCATCAATTAGGAGAAGACGAGCCTGAAACGAGAAAAGAGGAAAGCTACCCAAGAAAATCACTCCACCAATCATATTGTAAGATTAGATAGTCTTAATGAAGCATTGTTCATTAATACGGTATCAATACACGCGACCTCCTATATCTAATAACAAAAAAAATCTTCTATCAGGTGAAACAAGAATAGAAGGAAAAGCTATTTCGCGTAGTTATCTTTAGACATAATATGACAGAACACAGCAACTACAAAAGCAAGATTTCCTCTTCTTTCTCATTTTCTTCTTACCATTTTTATCGTTATTTGTATTGTTAAACTTCCCGTTGAGACAAAAAGAGGCCATTTTAAGTGCTGGATCAAATCTTAAACTAAGCTTGCATGAATATTCGCAAAACATCGCATTGAGGCTGAAAGGGCTATATGAGATCTTTTTTTTTTTTTTTTCGACGCTAAAGCCGAGGAACCAGCTGTCGGAAAAGGGCGTGTTGGAAAGAAATTTCTTTGAATAAATCTAACTTGACTAGTTAAATTAAACGAGATTTCTATACCTACACCGGTAACAGGTGGCTCTGTCTCTCCCTGCCGGTTTAGTGAAGTTTACAAGTAAAGGCTGCTTGCCTGCAGACTGTTAAAAAGCAGGCGAGCTTGACTCAGGAACAGAAAGAAATCGTAACAAAGTAAGGTAATTTTTCTGGAGCCGATTTATATCTGCTTTGTTGTTGCGGCAAGTACATTTTCTTTTGCTTTCTTTTTTGTTTTCGACCGCTGTAATTCTGGTTGACCTGGTTGAGGCGAGACATATGGGAAAAAAAAGCGAGAACGAAAATACATTTCGTAAATACTGATCGTCGGAAAATTGACAGTTTATCTTAAGTCAAAGTCATTGCTTCTTGTTAGGGAGCACTAAAGGCCAAAGACAGCAAGAAATCAAGTAGCTTTTCACCATATACGTATCTGACATATCCATGCTTTTTTTTTCTCATCCGTTTTCATGGTCTTTTATTTACTTCGTGGCAACTACATTGTTTAATTTTAAATATATAAGCTTTAATCTCATTTGAGATAAAGCTTAATTACTTATTAATACTCGTGCCTTAACGTTTCGAGGGCCATTGTTGAATGTTACATACCAGCTATCTTTATTGGGGAAATTTATAAACGACGTTCAAATTACAGAGTGTGCCAGGGCCAAAATCTATCCTCAAGTATTAAATGCAGTTGCTGGAGTGTGTAGGTCGTATGCATGAAAATATTACGCTGATACTTTCGCAGATTTACTTGCTTAACTGGGACCCATCCAAACCACGCCGGATAAAATAGAGGCGTCTAAAAAACGTTACTAATACTCTCAGGCAGGAAGATAGATGAAACTTTTCCTCTTCGTGTCACAATATTAATTTTTGGCGCAAACGATTGAATACATTTTTTGAGCATCCGCATGTGTACCAAAAAACAACAACAACAATAACAAAAAGCAATGGCGATGGTCTGACTATTTTTCCCAGTATAAGGAACGTTGCCTAAAACTCTCGACGACATTTTCTGTGGACAATTTATCCATACTAGATCGGACGGTTGAACCATGGTTGAACCTCAAAAAGTCTGGGCTGATGTGTACCGTAGAATGAAGTTGCGTTTTTGCCTTTATCCGGCTTAAAAATGCCGTCAAGTTTTTTTTATTGAAGAAGATAATAAATACCCCACTTCTAATCGTTCTTGTTGCTCCTAAAAATTAAACGCTGCTTCGTTTTGATGAAGGCGTGAAGAGAACGATTTTCCATTTTAGAGAGCACATCCCAGATTTCCGGCTATGTATAAATATACCATTGGAGCTAAAAGTATTTAATGATCAAAATTTCTAAATGACTTCACGTATGCGCTACTGGGCTTATCAAAACTAAGCCGCTGATCGGAAAAATTTCCGCAGGGTCTGCGCGGATCAAACTCAACCTTATTCCGTCATTCCACAAGTCTGGGGCGGCCGCAGGAAAGAGGAGAGAGATTCAAGACATCAAGGTTGCCTTACTTTCGGGTAAGAACCCTTGGCGACTTATCAAATTCCAAGGTTTTGGACTGGGGCTTCTAAAATAGGAAGGGGTGCTTATGAAAAACACTTGGACAATCAGAATTCGGGTCGTTATAAATGATCTTTTTTTTCTCGAAGAGTAAGAGATTGGGCCATTGGGGGCTTATTTTAAACACTTTTGAAAGCCGAATGAATTTCTCAGACACTTCAGATCACCTATAACTTTTGCGAAATACCGTATGCAATAATCATGGCTTCTTTAAAAAAAAAAAAAACAAACGAACAAAAATAACCCAAAAAATCGAGCAACAATATTCCAAACGGAAATGAATACAGGCTTACAGAGACAAGGAATATTGTGCGTGTTCCTATTCACCGGTATAAATGACTATAAGAGATCGTTCCGGCCCTTGTGATCTCTTGATACTTAAACAATACAGCGCTAAAACAACATTTAATCTTCCTTTCTTTTCCCGAAAAATAACCGTATCGTTTTTTTCGCTTGTATGCGAGTTCTATCTTGTTTTCGAATAATTTTTCTCTATGGAATTGGTTATTTGCTGGTCACGATGAAGATCTAAAGCTCCGCATCATACTCCGCGCTACAGAAATGAATAGTTTTCCTTGATTTTTGACACATTATTTCTTTGAGAGGGGGACGAGGAATGGTCCTCTCAAGGATTGTGCAAAGTGGAAAGAGGCTACGACTGAAAAAAAAAAATCGAGCAAGTTATGGAGTTATATCTATACGTCAGTATACCATAATGATAATGATAATGATATTCGATATTTATCACACTCCTTTTATGACTTTCATTCGCTCTGATGAAGGGCTAACGCTTGGAACGTCAGGTTTGAAACTCTTTACGGTGGCCTAGTTACATTGCCAATTTAGTGGATAAAACCAAAATTACCTTGTTATATATACTTCCCCACCGACGCAGGACCATAGTTTCTTTAGAAACTTAATACCCTCTTCATCTTTTTATGACTGTATTGAGCAATTATAAACATTCGTTTGATTATTCATACGGCTGCATGGCCGGAGTGTTTGAAATCTGATTCGCACTTTCGTTTGTTACGTAGCAAAAAGTAAAAATGTAAAACTAAAGAGGTCACCTCTGTTGAAGCCGGCTAGTACCTCGGACATTTCGGTTCTCTGGTTTGTCCCGCGCTTTGTCAACGTGCCCATTGACTGGGTTGATTTTTGATAAATCATAATCAATTCATGACCATACAACCTGGGTGGAGAGTGGCAATTGCACCTCTCAACGCGGATGATTTTTCTTGCATTTATGTCATTAAATTTAAAAATCTTAGCCAGTCCGTGTAAGAAATACCTAGGATAATTTGTTAGTTGTCTTCGGTCAATTTTCCAGACTCAGAGTGAAGCCGCGGTATAAAACCTCAAAATAAATTTGTGAGTGATGATTGATTTTAAACAAAGTACTGGCAAGTAGCACATTTTCCGAACTAGAGGATAAAATGTCTAAAATGGGGAAAAAAATTTCTTAAACTTCGACGGGAATGGAGTGGGGGCTGGACGTTTACGCATGCGTAGTGAGTCAAGTTGTAGTTGTGGTTCGTGACATCGCGCGGGCTCTGTCGAGTTGGGTTGTGTGTTCATGTATGCATGTGATTTGAAACTCTTTCCTGGTGGCAACATTCATGTGCGACTTGTCGTTATTGTCTGAAATCCAAAACAGGATAGACTCAACGGACACTGTCCACGAACAGATAGACACGTCCCTGTTTGTTACGCCTAGCTCCGTGGCGGAGAGGCTGTCAAAAATGGCTGTGGCACCGAACAGTTCAGATGCGTGCCTGAGTATCGTTCACAGCCTGATGTGTCACCGACAAGGGGGTGAGTCAGAGTCGTTCGCGAAGCGGGCCATTGAGTCTCTCGTGAAGAAACTCAAAGAAAAAAGAGACGAGCTAGACGCCTTGATCACCGCTATAACCTCTGGCGGCACGCATCCTTCCAAATGCGTTACAATTCAACGCACCTTAGACGGAAGATTACAAGTCGCCGGTCGGAAAGGTTTCCCCCATGTCATTTACGCGCGAATCTGGAGGTGGCCCGATCTGCACAAGAATGAACTAAAGCACGTCAAGTACTGCCAGTTTGCGTTTGATTTGAAGTGTGACAGCGTTTGCGTGAATCCTTATCATTACGAGCGAGTCGTCTCACCGGGTGAGTTAAAAAAATATCAAGCTCCAATATTTTTCGAATTGAGTGGTCGATCGACGGTTGAAGGTTTCCTATGACTATTATTGCAGAAACGCAGTCGATAATAGTTTAGTCTACGCGTAGTATTCATTTTCTTATTTCCCCGATCGATTCAGAGACTGTTTGTTAAAATTTGGTATCACTTGTGTGTTTTATAAACGCAAAATAAGACTTAACTCATGCTATTATTCACAGATATTACGGGATTGGCATTGTCGAGGAATCCAGGTAGGTTGTGAATCTTTAAGCACTATACAGCGGTTGATGTCAATGTTTTGCTGTTTATTACAAACGACTCGAACGGAGCCGCCGTGTTTTTCAAGGATATTTGTCAATCTCATTCCTCAGCACTCTCCGCTTGTATGCCCAAACATTTATATTTGTACCTAGGTACTGTTTCCCGAGAGTTTTTGTCAAAGTTGTCGATTTCTTGTCTTTGAAACAGACAAAAGTTGCCAAGGGTTCTGACGTGCAATTATATTCATGGCGATATCTTTGTTCTATTCCAGACTTTCTGTCTGCTCGAAAACACGTGGCTTGTCCATCTTTTTTGTTTTCATTTGAGGAGTAAATGCTTGACTGGGATCAGACAATGGGGCTGGTCGTTTCCCCTTCTATTGTTGAGAATATGATCATTTGTTCAAGAACGCGGCGATCGAGCTTCCCAAATATTCGCCTAGATCTTTCTTTAACTTAAATCATTAAACCGCAAAAGAGATCTCAATTACGGAGGCGATAAAAATAGCTAACAAGGAGATTGAACTTATAGTGTCACGACATGCATCATTCAATTCATTGTCCACACAGCTCTCCCAAGTGCACCTATTAAAATCACAAAAGCCTGTATTACTCTTGCTCTTAGGGTTATTGTGGCAATCAGGAACATTGTGTTGAAAAGTCAACAATTTGTTTCATTCCTGATAAAGTACTCAGACTATAATCTGCTTTGTTGTTGAAGTGTTAAAATGTTCGATTTTGGTCAGTTGGTTTACTTGGCGTTTTTCAGATTTGACGAATGAGTATTGACTTGATGGTGTTTTGAATTCCAAAGCTGAAAGAGATAATATTTTAGGTTATTTACCTAGCAATTGATCTAAATTTTTTTGTTGTATGAGTTGTCTAAAGCCCCTTAATGTTTCATAACATTGAAAAAATGATAAGAAAAAAACATAATTCAGGTGAACAATTGTTTTTCAAGTCCGGGTCATGTTGGTTATTTACTTTGAAATTTATCAGTATCGATTTATCAAACGTTTTCACGTCTACTACAGTCTTTTCAGCCAAATAGTGTCTCTAACTGTCGACACAAATTAAAATACTCAAAATCGTAAATGAATCAAAATTAACTGTTAATTTTATAATTAGGTGAGGGGCTGCTGTAGACATTAATTGTTTGAACACTGCATGAACATGAAAAATAGTTCATCTCTCTCTGTTGTCATTCTCTCTGGAATTGTATTTTTCTTTTTTCGAGTGCTTGTTCTTTAGAAATATAAAATTAAAATAACGGAGCCTTATGATGAGCCCTCAGCTTAAAACAGTACAGTACTGTACTCTGTCTTTCTGAATTTTTTCCAAATTTAACTTTCAAAATCCCACATCAGGGAAGTAAGCCTTGAAAAGTGTCACTACCTTTCGTTTCTTTACATTGATTTATTTGCCACACTTTTAGTTATAACAGAAAGTGATATTATACTCCCTTGAATATCAGAAATGATTGATGTTAGGAATTTGCTGACTTTGTGATGATTTTGTAAATTTTACGTAACTGTTAAATTTTTATGTTCACCTTGAAATATCAAATTTCTCGTTTTAGGGCCTTTTGCTAATGTGCCCCTCTTCTATCTGTTGAGGATTTTTTATCATTTCAATACTAATGAAAATGAAAAAAACTTGAACATAACATGTATTTTTTTTTTGCATTTTGATTTAAGTTCTAACCATGATGTAAAGATTTGAATGTAACTTAGTCTTAAGAAGTATTTTTGCTGGAAGCTGTTACCAAAAAGGCAATTTTTCGCTTTTGACACTTTCCTGATATTTACAAATTACCCAATATGTGAAGGTGGATGTATGAACCTGGGACTAGATGTAGAGGAGTGCTTAAGGAGTTGGAGCTTATTTTTTCTTGGAATATTAATTCTACATTTCTGGTGATTGACTTTATGCGTCTTCTACCAATATCTATCCCTCTTCTTTAAACGTGCTGTTTCTGTCCCTGCTTACTCACAAAAACAATCAGGTTAAGATAAGTGAGGAACCTAAGGGGACTTTGTACCACTTATAGCCAGAGATTATGTATCTCAGTCTATCTGTAGAGTGACACGTAGAGCAAATATTTTTAATTCTGGTAGATTTAAGACAGCTTTGGTTCTCTCTTTCATGGCGGGAAGTGTTATTGTTTGTCACATTAGGCAATTGTTAATTTTGTGAGTAATCAGTAGACTTCAGTGTTTCGATTTTGTACTGCTTATCTTCAAGGAGTGACAATAATGACAAAATCGCTATTTTTGATGTCAAACAGATTGAAGAGGCAAGAATATTTCACTCCTTTATAGAAAATAAGAAAATTGTTTTGCTCAAACCACTTGTGGTGGAACAGAAGTTGCATGTCCCTGCTAGTACATGTTTATTTTCTTGCAATCTGCTATAGCTGTTATATTATTTTGAGTTCAAACAGATGTGTATCAAACTCCAATTTTTCAGCAGCTGAAACAGTTCTTCTGGCTTAACCTGATGAGTGGGCTGACTTTCAGAGATTTATTGTTATTGTTGGATGCAGTGCAAAGAGAAAATTTCTCAGAAAAACAAATTTACAGTAGTATGACATGCTTCATTGGGCTTGCAAACCAAATTTTGGCCATGTTACACTTATTTCTTTTTATTTTTCTGACCTGAAGCTATGAATTCAAAGCAGTAGGTAAAATAGACTGGAGCCTGTTTGATAACAAACAGTTGAAAAACAGGCAAATGCTAAGGAAACTTGATATCCCAGTACAGTAGTCAGACAAGTTTTTATTTGCAATGTTTATTTTTCTACCTGCCTTGCCAAAAATGTAAATCCTGCAATTCATGACGCTTGGCTGCAAAATGAATTATACGAGGCTGTCAGTAGTGATTACAAGAATCTTTTGAATCAAGATCGAAAGACTTCTCAAATGTCTTGAATGTTTTTAGCCATTATTTTTTAAGGGACACGACACCTAGTCTAAATAAAGTTTTTTAAACTTGTTGACATGGATTAGAGTTATGACAGAATGATGCCATAATCAAAATCACTGTTGACATTTTAAGAATGTGTTAATGTTATTGATTCATACACAGCCATAGTTATTTCAAAAATATTAAATTAAACATTGATTTTGGTGAGGGAAATTTAGGAAAAAGTCATGGCATGTTACAATGGAAAGACAAACTTCTCAATTTTTAATGGAAAATGTTAAAAACATGTTTTCAGTCAGAGAGTGCTGTGATCTTTGGCTTCATCTCCCTAAAAGTAAATATTTTTAACATAATTTTCTTTCTAGTTTTTAAATCTCAGAAACATGCTTTTTTCCTGTACACATGTGTGCCAGGGAAAATTTCCCTGGTCAGCTCTTTTCTAAAGTTAAAGAAACAATGACAATAATTGGAATATATTTAATAATTGGAAATATTTTCAGAAAGGATAATATACCTGTAACTGTGATGTAGGAAGGAGAGTGATGATAATGTTACTGTACAATACATGTACATGTGTTTTTCCTTGTTATAGAAGTTGTTATTTCTTTTCAAAGCAGACTGCTGTGTAAAGGAATTGACAATATAAATGATCACATGATATGATGATCACAATGAAAAAATGCCACAGGGAATATGTTTTGTCATCTTTAATGAGAAAGCAAGGAGTGCCTCGGGGCTAAAAAAAAGTCCCTAGGATGGGAGTGAGGGAAACAAACAACTGGATTGATCAAACCAACAAAATGAAGTAACCACATGACAACCAAATGTTAGTTGATAGCTTGCCAGGTGCAACTTGTAGGCCTGGGGCTAATTAATAACTTATTACCCTAGGAATATGAACAATGATGAATTTATTGGAGAAGTATGCTCTAGAAAGTATACTCTTCATATTCTTCCCATAACTTAGACCTTTCAGGAATTACCTTCAAATTTGCTTCAACTAAGACTATGGCTGCTGCCATTTCAACTTGTGTGTAAAAAACCTTTCCACTTACCAGTGACACAATAAAATTCTTGTTTTTCTATTTTGAGGCACTTTCTTTCCACAAAAAGGAGCTTCACAGTAAGGGAATCTTTTGTCAAAAAAATTTTTTCTGCCTAGGCCAGCTGTTTTTGAACCATGCATTGAGGTTTTGCATTTGCAGCTAGCTAGCAAATGTAAAGGTCATGTAAATAAAAGAAATCATCTCCAGTTTAAGGAGTATGGTAGGAAATGTTAAAATAATATAAGTATGAGGAATATGAATATTTTTGTGAGAGTGTTAAGTGTTAATTAACAGCTAGGTTATTTTGAGTCTGTATTTCAAAAACTTTTTCATTGTTCCTTTTTTTTGTTCTTCTTTGGTCATTAGATGGGGCCTATGCCAGTAATTCTCAGTCAGATCCAGACTTCCGCCAAGCTGTTGGTCCAACAGCACATCATTATCCAGGTTTGTGTTCGCTACAAGAATTGCAGAATTTTGATAATGATGTTTGAGATGGATATTCAGTGAGTTACTTTGCATCACAAGTACCAAGTATCCATTCAGATGATGCCATGCAGTTGTATAATTCTTCTAAATTAACCTACTGTTTGGTTGATTAATCTTTTTGAAAGTAACTGTGATACTACTTTAACTTGCATGTGTCAAAAATTTAGAAAAGTTTGGGAACAGCACTTGCCTTTGGCATGTGATTACCAGTAAAAACTTTGTCCCCTTGTTCTCCCTTAATTTCTGCACGGGTCATTATGGCTGCAGAAACTGACAGAAAGTGTGGTTTATTCCTGAAATACAACAGTTACAGTGACCACTGTAAAGTCACACCTAAAAGTAATGGTGTACCCCAAAAGGGAAGTGAGCCTACAAAAGAGGTGATTTGTCGTTGACAAAAGCAGATAATTCTAAGAAAAGCAGCAATATCTGGTAATTCTTTTATTGACAGGAAGCCAAACAATTCCTTCAGTTGTTGGTTCTCCACACGACATGTACCCTGCAATGCACCCATCAGGAGATCCTTCTATGGGTCATGTTGGCTCAGGTATGGTACTTGATCACCTACAGTCCAACATATTGTTTTCAGGGTAAAGAAATTAAAGCTACAGTTACATGTAGGTTGGTTCCATGTTCAAATGAATTGTTTTTTATGGTAAAACTTCAAAATAATTTATTAAGTGTTAGCTATAAAACTTTGAATGTTGAGCAGAAAACTCACACAGTGCTTTCTGCAAGACCCGGCACCTGCCAGAGCTCTGGCGGTAATTCTGTTGTGAGTCGGCAGGTATATTTCACTGGGCTCAAGTGGCTGTCACCATGCTCAAGCCTCTCTCCGGTGGGTTTTGTTCTGAGGTAGCCACCAATTTCAAGTCTTTTTGAAAGCACTGCCCACATGTTTATAGAAATTCTTGGAAAATTAATCTGAGGTAAAAGGCTATCATGTGTATTTCTCTTTCACTTTTACTTTTTTTCATGTTATTACCGGACTCGACACTAACTTTTCAACTTACTAGCCAAGTGGCAAGTGACATCTTAGATGTTTTTAGATGTGACAACAATTTCAGTCTGTTTACTAGCCAAACTGGCTAGTGGAAATTGAAAACTACTAGCCAAAACTGAATATCTACTAGTCTGTGGCTAGTGGGCTACCATTGGTGTCGAGCCCTGCATTAATTCCAGGAATCTGAATAGTGATTCTTGTAATACTTGTACCTGACATATTTTTCTATGTTGGCAAGTTCTTAAAATTTTTTATATTATATATTTTTATCCTCTCATCATTCCCCTGTTGAATGTTTTATTTTTTTCTCATTACCTGTCTGCTCTACAGATAATTGAAAATTGAAGGAGAATTTACAATACTAAACACTCTAACTTACAAAACCAGATTTACAAACGTCATATTGTGTTTGTGTAAAATGTTTCCTTCTTCAGGACCTCCTGGTTGGGGTGCACCAGGTTCTGCCACATACAACCCTGGACCACACCCTGGGGCTGGTTATTGTGAGTTTCATAAATGTTATTAATTCATTGTCATGAGTTAGCAATGAAAATGGCTTATCCTAGTCTTCTACTTAGTGTACTAGGAAGGTTGTATTCATGTGGTGAGAGGGACAGCAAATGGAGTATCTAGCTCTGGTGAAGTCTTTCGCTGTTTAGATTCATTGGATTTATGTGTTTTCACAAACCTGAATTACAAGATTTATACATTATCTCAGATAGGGAGAGGAGTTCACAGGCACCCCCATAGCTGTTTCCCAAGAAGATGCTAAGGATCTTAACAACGGAATTAAAATACTAAATTCCCTTTTTGAACTAAGAAATCGAGGTTTAATAAGAGTGGTTCAGCGCTACCAAAATATATTTAACAGAGATCAAGATTTCGGCATTAGAAGCTAAATGTAGTCAATGACTCTTATCGTCTCCAGGGACTCAGGATCAGACATCAGAGGTCCAAGATGGCGCTCCAATATCGAAACACCCTCGTAAGTACATCCACTAAGTCTCATGTACGGTATTGTACATTTGTCGGGCGGGAGGTTCGAATGGAAACAAACTGCGCCGAGGTATTCAGTGCGGCCTGAGGCTGAGTGTCTTACTCGATATTTTTCACACACGCACTGGCTCAGACCCGTAAAAAACTTTTTTTCGGTTGGTTCGCTTTTATCCGCTTTGCCGCTAATGGCGCGGAAAAAAGTTTGGACCATGGTACGTTATGTTAAGAGCTGGACTGGTTACAGGCGCGCGACTATCCATTCAGAGGATTTAAGGTTATTAGACAAATTAACCTTTCAAAGTACAGTTCTTGAAAGTAAAAGTTACCCTGAACAAATTGATTTAAAATTTATGATATTGAAATCCCCCTCGTTAAGCCCTGACCAGTGCTTTTGGGGAAAACAATAAAAAAATTGTGTTTAAACAAAAAAATAATAGTAATAAAAAAAATAAAAGTTAAAGCTGAATTTAAATTTCTGTTATTGGTGAAAAATGTGAAAAACAAAGGAAGGAAGGATGAAAAGAAGTTACCAAAAAAAATAGGATCATGCAATTTAGGCTTTTCACACACTTGCGCTAGCCAATGAGATTCCCGAATTTGGAGCCGCCCACGAAGTTTGAGCTTATCGTCTGTTTTTATTGAACTTTTTTTTCTTTTCTCACAACAGCTCCAGAGAACTGGTGCTCGATATCATACTTCGAACTAGACCAGCAGGTTGGAGAGATTTTCAAGGTGATGTCTTCGTGTCCTTCAGTGACAGTGGATGGTTATGTCGATCCCTCGGGCGGTAACAGGTTTTGTCTCGGTCAACTCTCCAACGTCCATAGAACCGAAGCGAGTGAGAAGGCGAGGCTCCACATAGGTTAGTGCCTCAATATCTGTTCATGAATCCTTGTAAGTAATTACTGATTGATTCAGCGGTGATTCTTCCCAAAGCCTAAGTGGAATGTCTGCACTCTTTGTACCTTTTTGTCAAGGAAGACACCCTCGAGAATGTCTGCACTCTATGTTCCTTTTTGTCAAGGAAGACACCCACGAGATCTTTAAAGAAATTGACCGGTTGTTGATGAAGAAAGAATTGTTTGGAAGCCACATATGTGGTTATGCTATGATCAGCCCTTAATTTCATTTACTGCTGGAATCGTTGTGTTTCAAAATTCTCTCGGGCTGGATAGGAGTCGTTTGGAATTGGCTAGCTTGTCTTATAGGTAGAGTATCTATGGAGTCATGTATTACTCTCAGAAATAAACTGAAAACCAGAACCTGGACATAAGCAATCCGCTCTGATGGATTAGTCTACTTAATCATTCTAAAGGGACCCCAAAAAAGTTACATCACTAAAAAACGCTTTGTATTTGTCTTTTTAGGAAAAGGAGTCCAGCTAGATATAAGAGGCGAAGGTGATGTCTGGGTGAGATGTCTCAGTGAACACAGCGTCTTTGTACAAAGTTATTATTTAGATAGAGAGGCAGGGCGTTGCCCCGGGGACGCTGTTCACAAGATCTACCCATCTGCGTACATTAAGGTGTTTGACTTGCGTCAGTGCTATCGACAAATCAAGCAACAAGCTCATGCTGCCCAGGCCGCCGCTGCAGCTCAAGCCGCAGCCATTTCCACCGGTGTGGGGCCTGGTGCCTTGTTACCCCAGATTGGAATGAGCGTGGGTGTCGATGATTTGAGAAGGCTTTGTATTCTGCGACTGAGCTTCGTGAAAGGTTGGGGACCTGACTACCCAAGAAAAAGTATCAAAGAAACGCCTTGCTGGATAGAGATTCATTTGCATCGGGCGTTACAACTTCTCGATGAGATATTGATCACAATGCCGATCAACGAGCCCCGTCCACACGACACGTGATTGACATGTAAATACACTTTGTTGGCTTCGCTGACAGTGAGTGAAACGGCTGGCATGGCTTTGTTTGTTATATCATTTTTTACAAATTATTTAATTTCCCTCTCTTCCTAAGGAACGGCCATTTTGTAAGCGTTTTTCGCACCTCTCGCTATTTCGTCCGAAAGGCAAAATGATCGGTTCTGTCATGATTAGTTGAGGTCATTCGAAGAGTATTCAAATTCTCTGTGTGGGATTATTGATAACACCGATAACTTTATCATAAGTTACTTCGAAGGTCTGTTAAATGATAACCGTTAAACTGTCTTCGCAAAAGCTCTATTGAACTTCATTCACTCCTCATGGAAACAAGTGTGAGTATGTTAAAAAAGGGAGGGGTGGTTCGATTGGGGAGATCAGTGTATATCTGAAATAGTTATTATGCAACTGAAATCTTCCTTGGTGGAAATTAGGTTCTTGGCTTTAAATCAGCTCTTACAAAAGTTTCTATTGGGGAAAAAGACTTGATCGCAGGCATTGGTTTCATAATGCTGGAGAACAAGAATCGTACGCTTGCGCCCTCGAAAGAGGCTGGGGGCGGAAGGCTTTTTAAAACTTTAATTCTAATTTAACAAGATTAATAGAACTTTAACGATGTATTAGAATGAATATAAACATTGTCATTTGAAGTGAGATCTTATCCTACAACAGCACAACTTAAGTGCGAGTTATCAGCGATTGCCTTAGGCTTTCCATTTATCTCCCTGAGTTGTCCCTAATTAACCAAAGGAAGATTCATAAATATAATTAACCGGCTGTGTAAAGGTTCTGCATCTCAAATGCATTTGATCAACTTACTTGCTAAGAGAGTCAACTTTTTAAGAGCAATTGAGGTGCTCAAAACGATGTGTGGTTGTTTTTCCTATGTGTGATAGGGTCAAGCAAATTCTTGAATGTTCGTTTTATGTTCAAGTACAGAATTATCAACTGACATCTAAAGAGTAGATCAGAGTGATCTCTTATGATTTATTATGATAAAGAATAATACTGTTTGCTTTAGGTTAAAATGGTGTGTCTTAACCAGACTAAGAGCATTTTCTTGGTTATTTTTATAAGCTCTCAACGCGATGGGAAATACTTTACCGAGCCGATGAGTTTTACCCAACTGTTAAGGTAAACAAGGGTATGCTAATAGTTTGGTTAAATTTCGTACACCTTCCTGCTTGCTGTTTACTTGATCAAACAACTGTTTAAGTTAAACTTGCATCCTGATTAGTTGAGGTCATTCGAAGGGTATTCAAATTCTCTGTGTTGGATTACTGATAACACCGATAACCCTTAGAAGGAAGGAAAGCCGGCAGGTGTACACACACGAAAAAACCGGGCTCCCCCAGGCTAAAGCTCTGGATCCACCATTGATATATTTATCAGAATGACAACCGAGTGAAAGTAGGACCGTAAAATTAATTGAAACTTTTTTGCCAGCGACAAATTTAAGCACTCCCTCTTTGACAGTTCACGAAATGAATTTCGGACTTGTGCGTGAGTGAAGGATGTATAGCAGAGCGCTTTTTTAGGGAGTATCGTAGAACACGAAACCAAAATAATCATAGCAGCCAATCAGGGAAATGGTCGTTATCACAAAGAGGCAATGAGAACTCGTGGTTAAAATAAGTGCGTTAAACGCGATTAAACAAGCTGCCTATAGTACAAGTTTCATCTATCAGATCGGTTGAGAAGATTGCCCAAGTTTTCTAGACCAATCAAAGCGAAGCATGGCAAAATCAATGCAAATACGGATTACAGCGACACTTGTTCTCGACCCACAGTCCTACAAACTTTTCTGAATATGAAACACTTTTAACTCCAATTTCAGCGATGATACTAATTAGCGTCGGGGAATCTTCATTATATAAATTAGTTTTCGATGTAATCACTTTTTCTTCTTGGTCGCCACTTTGGAGAAGTTTCTCTGGCACGTGCTTTGCTTTATTTTGCTAATATAGCTCTGTTATAAGTGAAATGTTTCCAACATTTTTAAGCAACGAATTTCATGTATACATGAAAAATGTTGCATTGTAGATAACTCAGTGATAGAAATGTATTTTCGTAAAGTTAATGAGCTTTATAGACTTAATTTCTTAAGTCAAATTGTAAATTTACTCAGCGATTTGTCTTTCAAAAAGTCTTTATTAAGGTATGTAAAATGTATTATTGCTTGATTTTAGACTACGAAGAGAATTTAAGTCGTGGGGTCGGTTACAGAAATTTTTCATATTGTTTTATCTATATAGCAGTTCGTCAATAACTTATGAAGTAAATACGAAAATTGATAGATGTAGTTAAGCTTCTCTAAATGGTAAATGCCAACATTCTTAGCTGTAGCTAGGTTGAAAATTCCTTAGTCGCTTTTTCTGATTTCTGATTGATTGAATTATCGGGTAACTGTACTGGCAAATTAGATAAGTAATTTTCATTTTTCTCCAAAGCTTTCTCCATAAAAGCTGTTAGATACTAGGTTAAGCATCATATGCATAAAGTCAATGTTTTTTGTCTTGCAAACGAAATATGACTCGGAAAGAAAACACCGATTCGCTGGAAATCTTTTTGACGAATTTATTTCTGCTAGCCCGTTCATTTGATAAGGATGTTAATTTACTGATATTGTTCAACTTAGCAGTGATAGTTCACGTATCCTTGCAGACTATCAGCTCGTTCCACTGCTACTGTATTTCTTCCCAACCTCCTGTACAGTAAGAAAACAAATAAACTGTCGTTAGTATAATTAAAACAACGAAATGTCTCCTACTCGCAGACTGTTGGAGATCTTTTCTGTGATAATATAAATTTGATATCTAAGCTCTTCCTCGTTGTTTTAATCTTTGACCTAGCTTTCCCGCTGGTTGCTCTCATGGATACTCCAATGTAGGATAAATGCCAAATTGAGAAGGGCTACCGCTCGAAACGTCAGCCTTCAAACTCTTTACGGTGGTCAGTTGATAGAGCCAAAGTTACCTTGTCACTACATTCTCTTTACAAACATGCCTCCTTTATTCATTCGGGAATAATAAGGCTTTATTGAAGGATATCTGCAAGGTACATACCACTCGTCGCAAAACTTTATATTCTTGGTTTTCAGTGAGTTCTGAACCTCTAATTCAAAGGACGAATTGAAAAAAAAAGGCTAGTCGAGAAGGAAATAGTCTGAAATTTCAGCCGTCTCTTCCCTTTACCCCAAGGGGGGCGCGGGAGAGAGAATCTCTCCGCGCCCCCCCTCCCCCCCTGGGGTAAAGGGAAGAGACGGCTGACTAGGTGGGATGAATCTTTTCCTCATGTGTGCGCGGTCGTTTGACTCACTTCCATGCGAACAAAGTGGGACTGTCCTACACCTCCTCGGTAAGTGGTTACTTTGTTGTCAATGAAATGGCGGCTGTTGCTACGAAAGTGTAGCAAACATTTTTGGCAATTTTACGGAATTTTCTTTGTCTGTACTCCCTGAAAAGCGATGTCATAGTTATTAGTGACAGTATGAGTAACAAACTTTCGAGCAAACCTTCTAGGAAGGATCGCCCGCGATCTACAGGTAAGCTTTTCGGGGAGATGGCGCGCGAAGCCTGTCGATGCTGTCTCCGGTGTCACTAGGTTAAGAAGAAAGACTTTTTTTTAGCAGAAAGCTGTTCTCGCAATCTGTTTCTTTTATTCTCTGGTTAAATTTCATTCCCATATTCCTTTTATTTCTGCAATTGAAATCACGAATTTGCGAGAAATAGGATTTGAAAATTTCTATCTTGCCTCTGGCATGGGAGACCGAGGTGCGAGATTAAAAGAGAGCGGCTCATTTTGTTGCTGTCGGTAGAACCCTTGCCAAGCATGTAAGCTATGGCCTGTAGCCCTTTAGCTCAGCCTTTCATTCTTCAATTTAGTAGCTCTGCAGCTAATTAGTTGTTAACTGGGCCTTGTTATAAATACTTTGGGCCATGTGAAAGTTTGTGTGATCGTCCGGGTGAGTGTATAGTCTTGAGAAAGACCACCACCGACAACAGTCCTTCTCAGGACTACACTCACCCGGACGATCGCACTACACTTTCACTTGTTACCTTGGGTTCAAACCATTTACTGCACTTTGGGCCATGTTGATCACGATCAAAGCCTTGTGAACACAATCCTTGGCCAGCGACAAAAAAAATAAATAAATAAAAAAATAAGCCAAAATATTGCTATGGAAGATGAATCTGGTTTATAGGGAAACTATGCTTTGTACAACTCTGCTATGGTGTACATTATTCAAGCAAGATAACGAATTTTTTGCGTCATACAAAGATGTAAGTCTACACTTTCTAAAGGAGATACACCCTTCCAGTAGGAAGAAACCTCCTTTAATTATGGGTTCTAAGTGAAGTCGGTAACTCAGTTATGCAGAACCCCAGGTGCATGTAAGTGTTTGAAATAAATTATCTCTTGAGAGACTTGCCTTAGTTCGAAGGCCCTGCTCATGCAGGGTTCTACTTTTGATCTCCTTAAAGTTGCATTGGTATTCATGCTTAGCTTTTTCAGATAAGTAATATACTGAGAAGGTACTCCTTGAGAGTTCAATTAGTTACATCTAGGTATTACCAAGCATTGTCAACCTTCATGGAGATCATAGTAAATGATACTTTCCTACTGGTAAGACTCATTAACAATACAGAAAGGATGAGACCATCCTCGGAGACCCAGGGGCTGTGGGTCGATTTCAAGTTAGGGCATGAAGAGCCCCTGGGGACATTTTCCTACAAGACTAGTTTCAAACAGTCGCAGTTGTTCTGCCATCTGATTGGTGCCAGAAAATCTTTGTGTTTTTCTGCCCAATCAGAGTGAAGTGTGCTTTAGAGTCCTTTCATGTGTTTTAACGCTGACATATATTAGTAGCTCAGTGACTCGCTGTGTTTGTTTGGACCGTACGACAGAGATTTGCTTGAGGTGAAAAGTTTCAGTCTCAGCACACAATGTAAGAGAAATTGATCAGATTGTCCCCAAAAATCTTGCCAGAAATTATACTGAATACTTTTGCAGGTATCACTAGAGAATGTGTTTTAAAGTTTGCGAGGTTTGTATACAACACAATGGTTGCAGTCATTGATATGTCGCTTTAAACATTAAACAAGATTTAAGCCTAAATCTTTCTAGATTTTTTGCATAATTTGCTGTGACTGAAACTTTGCCAATCCCGTGAAGTCATTTGAT